ACTCATTTACACCAAAGAAAAGGGGAGGGGTGATTAGTTGCTCCAGTGACAGCAGAAAGAGCCAGATAGGGCCAGGGAAACTGATAAAGCAGCAGAAAGCCCAATATCCCCCAGCTGCCTGCCTTTTTTTATTTATTTTTCATTTCTTCTTTCTTTCTTTTGAAGCGCTAAAATTCCACCACTTTCTATCATGCAAATTTGCGTGCCTGAGTGAGATTAAACTCCGGCAGGCCCCGTGCCTCCTTCCCCAAGTCCATTTCCCGCGCCGAGATAAGGCCAGCTTCCCTGAATGCATCTTACAAGGCAGTGGGAGGGCTCTGCCGGCGCGCGTCCGAGACGGCTTATTATCAATACAAATAAGAGCTTTCCAGACCCCGTCCTCCTCCTCCTCCTCCCTCCCCGCTCTCTTTTAAACCCAGGAACCCGCAGAAGAGCTTAAATCGTCGAAGCGTCCTGCGGTGACCGGGGAGAAGGGGGAGGCTGCGCCCGAGATGCTGCTGCGGGGGCAAGAAGTGGGACTCGCTAAGCAACCCAGAGCAGGATACAGGAGAGGAGAGGAAGGGAAAGCATCACTCCTCCGAGGTCAGTGGGGCCCAGCTGAAGTCCTCCTCCTTGCCCTGGGTTTCTGCCTCCCTCCAAGTTCAGACCTTGCCTATTGCAAGCGGGGCTTCCTTGGATTTTGTCTCTTTGGGATTTTCACCCAACACCTCGCTCCTCCCGGGGTCCGAGGCAGACTCCTGCAAACACGGGCAGCGCCGCTTCCCTGTGCTGCGGTCCTATGGCAACTCCTCCTAAGAAGAAATGAGGGCTGAGCGAGTGGGACAGGCAGGGACCACCCTCCAGACACTGCAGACGACATGGACGCTCCCTATTTTAGGTCCAGCTGTAGTCTGGGAGCTTCTTTCCTGGGGAGATCCAGGCGCTAAGAACCTCCTTGCAGCTTTGGCAGCTACGTCGGTGGCTCACATCAACTCGGCATTGCCAACGCTGAGCCTGACCCCCTCTAAAGCAGCCCCCGAAACAGCAGGTCTGAACTTTGATGCATTCAGTGCCAAGGGGCTGTTGTCTCATTCCCGGGCTCATTTGTCCCACATCAGCGTGGAGACAGCGGGAAGGAGAGATGCACCGACCTGCTATTCCTGGATCGGCAGCAATCACCTTTAGCAGCAGGATTTGAGGACTGACAAGTGTTTCTGAAAGCCTGACCGAGGAGGAAAGGTGGGAGAAAGGGGCCTCGCATCGTTTCAGAAAGCAGGTGGCGAAGGGACGACACGGTAACAACCTTCCCCAAAGCTAAAGGCTGTAACAAAGAGGACGGTGATCAATTGTTCCCCACGTCCGCTGGGGACAGGCTGAGAAAAACTCCACTTCGTTTGCGACAAAGAAGGCTGAAGTTAGATATTAGCTATACATTTTCTAATTATACGGGTAGCGCAGCAGTAGAATAGGTTGTCTAGGGAGACCGAAGAACCTGCTTTGTTAAAGATTTTTCAAGAATAGCTTTGCCACGTGTTCGCCAGCGACGTCTCTGCCTCGCTGCAGGGGGACGGGCGAAACCAGCTCTCGAGGTGCCTTCTACCCACCTATTTCGGGATCGCAACCATCACTACAGACAACCTAGAAATAAATGTGCAGCGCCTTACTCGCTGCAGCGTGGACATCCTTGGGTGCTGCTGGTTTCTAGCCGATTCTCTCCCGCTGCCTTGGGGAACAGCCCCAACCCTCACACCCTAAAGGAAGCTCCTTCTCCCACCCCTCTCCCTCTTCTCTTTCCCCCCACAGCATCAATTCCTCAGCTCCAAGGCCACTTCCCAGCGATATCCCAATAAATTCGGGGAGGAGGGACGCATGGCACGAGGTGGGGGTGTCCGGACCCTGGCTGATACGCACCCATCACGCCTGCCCGGGGGAGCAGCAGGCTGCTGAAATCCCGGCTGGAAGGGGACAAGCTCCTTGCCCCCCGTGGCCAGTCCCTCTGGAGCACGCAGCCTGCCCCCGGGTACGATTTAATTGCATCCTGAGAGGCCGGAATGCTCCAGCCTCCAGAGCTGTGCCCCCAGGCCCTTTCCTGGTGCAGCAAGGGAAAAGCCAGGACCCGCTCAGAGCAACCTGCACACCTCCCTCTTGCTGGCTGCACCTGGACTAACCCTGTTTAAAAGGGGAGACTCCCTTTCCCACCTCCTCTCACCGCTTCTCCTTTCGTATCAGGCTGCAGGAAGGGGCAAGAGGTCCCACAGCCACATGCTGAAGTTGGCACATCCCTAAAATCCAGTGCTCGGGCACCCTGCTTTCCTGAGAGGGAGGGCAAAGCACCGCTTCCCACAAGCTGAATGTCTTTCAGGGCAGGATTATACCAGCTTGTGTATTACTGGGGCCATTTTCCAAGGCGGGAGAGTTAATCCTGGCACCCCAGACAAATTTTAATCAGGGTCATTAAGGCAAGCTTCCTTGCTTGCCTCGAGAAAGAGCCAAGCAACAGCTCTTGAAATTAGGGGGCCCGCTCCCGAGAGCCGGTATTTCTGTCGGCAGCGGCGAGGATGCTCAGCACGTCGCAGGACTGAGCCCATCACCGAATCCTCCAGTATTTAACTGTACCGCTGCAAGGAGTTAAGACACGACCTTTTCCTCCCGTATCCAAACATCTCTTCCTAACGATACAGCAAAATGGACCTGGATGTCTGGTGATATGGGAAATTTAGGTCAGGAAATGGGAATCAGAAGAGAACAGATAGAAATTGTCCTGCATCACCCCGGCGCCTGATAGCAACTTCAGAACTTGCGGGTGATCGACTTTGGCTTAAAGAAACTCAGGCAGGTAATAACAGATTGCAAGATAAACAGCAAGGAGCCGGGCTGGCAATGCATCCGCGCTCTCTCCGTGGCTAATGGAGATGGAGAAAGTCCGGCTCTGTTCCGTTTGCTTGATTGCTCGAAGAAGAAAGAAAACCGAAAGGGAAGGAGGGGGGAAAATAAAGGCCCTGGGTTTAGGTTTCCCCCCCCTTCTATTCATTAGGCTGTTAATAATGCTCAGGCCTGGCATATCGACGGTGGATTAGCTCAACCCGACTCTGTGTACAGGACCAATGCCTTTTTAACCCAGCTTGTTTCCAAATCAATACACCCATCAGCATTCGAAAATTAGCCCGAGACGAGATTCCAATACTCAAGCTAAGTCATGCTAAGAGGGCTCCTGGCCAAATCACAGGCGAAGAAGAAGGAAAAAAGGTTGCTAGGAAGGGATTAGAGATTCTCCATTATTCTTCCCCGAGGCTCCCTCCCTACGAGCGCACCGGGCCCCAACGTCCCACCACGCAGGCTCCCCCTTGCCCAGCACACGTCCTGCAGCACGGACACGGGAGCTACCTTGCATGAACGTCCATCTGCTTGACCATCACGCGCGGCCACGCTCTCTCGAGAGCCCGTGCGTGCTTGCTGAAGAGCACGCTTGGCCGCTGCAAGCGCTCCACCACCCCATGCTGGCCTTCCTCTGCCTCTTCCTCCTCCTCACACAAGCACGGAGTTTCAACACACAAACACATATTGTTGCTAGGCATACACACACCCCCGCAAAGTACACAAATCTGCCAGCTCTCTCTTTTCCCCCAACACAAGTTTTACTTCAAGCATTGCCTCCAGCATGGAAAACAAAAAAACCCCATCAAAATACAACAACAAGAGCAACCAGCAACGTGGGTTTGCCAGCGACTACGTTGGGAGGCAGAGCTCTGTCTCAGAGCCCCATGACAGCTCCAGGAAAGTTGGATGAGCACGACTGCGTCCAGCTTCACGGGGACTCTCCAAGCCTGTGGAACACCAGATGACCCACAGAGGTCCCTTCCAACCCCTACCGTTCTGTGAACAGCCTCTGTGCTTGCAGAAAGCTGTTTCACACGCAGCGAGCTCGACGTAGGAGCGATAGGAGGGGAAGACACCAGGGCAAAAGGGACGAACAGAAATCAAAGCACCAAGCCCAACCCCTCTACGGATTCCCTTCCTCTTACCTTGGACGATGAGATGGACGCGCGATGTCTTGGGGTGATTGTCTGTCTGCACGGAGCAGGTGTAGGGGCCCTCATCGTACACGTCCACGTCTTGGATCTGGATGCTGTACTGGGTTTTGGTGTTGGCCAAGAGCACCACTCGGGGGTCCAAGCACCACTTGTCGTTGCCGGCATAGAGGATGCTGCTGCGGTTTAGCCAGGCCACGCGGGTGACTCGGCTATCCACGGAGCACCTGGGGAGACGCAGAGAGGGGACTCATCAGCGCGCTGCTCTCGGGGGCTCTGCCCTCCTTCCCCAGCCCCTCCTGGCACTGTTTTTAGCTTTGCTGCCAGCAGCAGCTTCAGAGACCAAAGAAGACAACGTCAGCACTTTACCTGCGGTGCTCAGGGCACCAATATCCTCCTAAACTGGTGGCTCCAGAGATTTACCCAAGAGCTTCACAGCAATTTCAGGCAGAGAGGGGTCAGAGCCACCCAGCACCAGCCACCAAAGGACCTTTCACTCCTCGGTTCCCATTTGCTCCTTTGCAACCTCGGAGACAATCAGAGCCAAGGCTAAACCTCCAGCCTGAGTCCCAACCACACTTTTTGGGGGGGAAGCAGGTTGCCACCTCCTGCCCAAACCCATCCCTTGCCATCCTCTCCGCAGACCTTCATATCCCTGCGGCCAGGCAACGCAACGCAAAGCGGAGACGTGAAAGCAGCTCGCTGTGCGTCACGCAGGAGCGAGGAAAATTCATCTGGGGAGAAACCCAGCTCTGACACACCGCGAAAGAGAAACCCTGAGCTTCCTACTGTTTGTCCCTTCCGCCAGCTCTTCCTTCCCCTCCCACCATCCGCACGGCTGCATCTCCTCCCCTCACCGCACCTTACCCCAGCGAAGCGTTTCAGCTACCAAGTGATATTTCAGAGGAAGAAGTCTTCTACTTCCAGCCTCATTAACAACCTGAGCCCCCCCTGCAGAAGACACCACGGTGCAAACCCTGAAGACACTTTGCTCCTGAAGGGGATTATTCTCCTGTCCAGTCCTGCTCCTCCCAAAGGTCTCTGCCAGCCCTATCACCCTCCATCCCCAGGTCCCCCAGCAAGGTCTGAACCCTCCATTTCCACAAATCGTCTCCAGATGAGCCAAGAGCAGAGGGCCTGGAGGCTGCCTGCTGCCCAAGCCCTCCTCCAGGCAGCAGAAACCCGCAGCCCCCTCAGCCAGCTAAAACCCCGCTTCTCTCCAAGCAAATTTGGGATTACGGAGCCGTCAGGACTTAGCCACGCTTTGCTGGATGCCAGCGACGGAGGATAATGTCCCTGCATAAAACCACTCAGCCTCAGATCCACTGTTTATATTCTCCCCAATCTACTTCGTTACTTGCGCAGTGGCTGGGATGCAAATTAACTTCAGAGGCACCGAAAGTGAGCGTGGCAGTCCCCGGGAGGTCTTGCATGGGGTAACCTCAACAAATTCAAGGGGTTTCATGGGCTAGACATGCCAGACCATGGTAGCAGGGGAGTTAATGTCAAGGATGAAGGTATCCGTGGCATTCGGGCTTATCCTGACACTTTAGGGATCGTGTCCTTTCTCAGGGTGAGCTGTCTCCTCACCGGTGGGTGACTTCCCTTCCCGTGTCCACCACCGATGCCAGCCAAGACACAGGTCTGGGGACAAGCTGTCTCATCTCGCCCCTTTTTGGAGGTATCTCTGTGGCCCCAGTGATGACAGGAGAAGCCCAGATAACCCCCTCGGCCTCAACACGCAATGTTTGGAGGTTGGGGATGATGGATCCCCACGAGGTGACGTGCCTGAGGTGAGATGGGTTACTCTGCAGCCCAGAACCCCCCTGCTGATTTCCTAGGCAAGTGCCCAAGCTACTGCACCATCCTCCCTCTCTGGTGTGAAAAACATCCGATAAATTGAACAATTTTACTGCTGTTCCATGATGATATTACGATACTAATAAATTAAATGTGAGCAGATTTTTATTATCTACATAAAAAAGCGCAATAGATTCAGCCTGGGCTGAACACCAAGAACTCGGCTCTTGCTCTCAGCTGCGTCACAACTTGAGCAAAACCTGAGAGTCGAGATGCTGAAGTCAAACAAAACTTCAGATTTCTTCCCAGAGGATGATTTTATTATATCATACTCCGGACCTCAACTCTGCTGGTAGCTTAGACCTCCGGGGTTTGAACAAAATGCAGGCGGGTATTTGGAGCTGCCCATCGCCAGGCCACGGAGCAGGGTCTCACGTTCGCGGCGAGCAGCGCGTCTGCACAAAGACACGGTGCCCACCCTCCCTGCCAAAGCCCCGTCGCGCAGAAGGACGGGGTGACGAGCAGCCAGATGTGCCTTGAATTTCTCAGCCCGGTCCCTTCTCCGGAGATTACCCCTGAGGACACGTAAAGCGAGCTGAAGTGAAAATATATATTTCCTCTCTTTTCCTCCACAGCAGTTTTTTTGTGCAATGCATCAGCCTGGAGATCCCTGGATAATAATGGAGCCAGACAGTGTGTAATCCAAGCATTCCCTCTATCCTACGGGCATTTAAGTGCTTTTGAAAAGCAACGGGGCTCAGGTAACGCATGAGGCAACAGTGAAATAAGTGCTTTTGCCCTTCACAGCACCCGGTCACAATCTCTCCTTATCACCCAGACACGCTTCTCTGTCCCTGGGATCGGCAAGCTTCAAGTTACTGTTTTATTTTCTTCCCTTCCCTGCCTCTTCAAGCTCCCACTATATATAAAATCCCGGGAAAGCCTCGCCGCAGCGACCCGGTAAGCACAGGTGGAGAGCAAAGCCACCGCCGAGCCCGCAGCCTCCCTATTCCCACCCCGCTCCTGGCAAGGTGCAAAGCCCCGAGATGCTTCCTCCACCTCGCTGGAGGCTCTCGCCCCGTGCCCTGCCAGGGAGGGAGGGGATTGAGAGGTCCCCAGGGTGCCAGAAAAAGGCGCTTGCCTCCAAAAAGATGATGTAAAAATAATTAAGCACAGATGAGGTAATATTCTTTCTCAAGATCCTTAATCCTTGTTACGTTCCTGCTCGGAAGGCAAAGCCTTCTCCTCCAGGAAGATGAAAAACTGCCAGCTGTCAGCACAAGGAGGAGACAACGCTGCTCCCTCTCTCTGCTGTTTCTTTCCCTCTAAACCCAGAGCCCCAGGCCTCAGGGTTTCTCCTCCAGGAGCTGGAAACGCTGCTGGCACACCCCTGCAGCATCATCCTGCGGGCAGGCAGTGATGGTCTGCAGAGAGATGCAGCTCCTCGCACTGCACCAGACCCTCCGCTCCCTGCTGCCGCCGAGGACACCTCGAAATGACCACGAGCGATGGAGTTTGGGCGTTTTAAGCCAGTTGTGTGCACCAACCAAAGGTGAGAGCTGCTCCCAACCTGCCTGCTCGTGCCCTTGTCCCCTGCTCCCTGCACAATGACGCACAGCGGGCGCAAAGGGGGTACAGGCGGAGGCTGGTGCTGCCCTTCCCACACCCGTTAGCATCTCTGCAGCCAACGCTCCTCGGCTTTGCTATCCACTGTCTACAAGCGAGCTGGTCCTTTAGGACTGGCCACTGTCCCCCAGTCCAGCTGGCATCCCCACAGCCTGAGGGGCTGAGCTCGCAGAGCCGAAGTCCTCACGCCTGCACCCTCTGCATCCCACGCAAGGTGCCCGTGGGTGCAGCCCGGCTGCAGGGACACCACTTGGAGACGGAAATTGGAAGAGGGAAAGCATCGCTGTCGGGTTTCTGCCACTTGAGGTAACACAAGCACGAAGACGAGCAGGGCTGAAAACGCCAACCCAGCCCTTGGTGGGCACACACCCGCCCCGGCCGGCGGGCACCAGGCTGCTTTGCTGCCTGCGCTCTTTGCGCAGGCACCGGCGGCACGCGCCAGCACCGACGTCCCCGCCTGAATTTCTCTCTCTGCTTTCGCGAGTTTGCACACAGAAAACGACGGGAGAGGAGGTGGCCCGGCGGTGGGGGGAAGGAGGTTTTTAATTACTGAAGTGCAGTAATTGGCACACAACACTTTTTTTGTTGCCTCTTCTGCAGATCGCTGGTGTTCCAGAGGGCTGGGCTGAAGAGCACAGATTGTCTCAACCCAGCAGGACACACAAGAAATGAATAATGTTAATTAGAACTGAAAAGAGCTCAGCGAAATTACCAACCTGACTGCCGCTTTCACTGCGGTTATCAGGGTACGGGCTCCACCGCGGGGAGGCAGGGACGGGGCTAAGCCTGCCTCACCCCAGCAAACTTGGTGGCCCAACCTGGGGCCATGACCGAGCTGGAACCCCCTGCCCCAACATCCACCCCCGGGATCACTTCTCCTTCCACCGCCACGGAATTTTCACTGCCCTAGAGAAACCCCCTTCCCAAATCCAGGCCATCTGAAGGAGTTTCACGTGCCCTGCACCACGGCACTCATATGCCATCAAGCATCCCTGGATGTCTTTCCTTTTTCTTCCCAGTCTAACTTGGCAACTCCCAGACACCTCTGGATTTTGAAGCATCCACACTGGCAGCGTTCTCTCTCTCCTACAGGCTAGCTCAAGCTGGAAACCAGTTTGGAGGAACTAGCTCGGGGTTTAATTTAAAACTAGGTGCAAAAGCCTCCCTGCAAGGCTGGGCAAGGAGACAAGCTGCTCCAGCCCTGCCTTGTCCCCAGCCTCTCACGTCCCAGGCAGCACCTTCCAGCCTCAGCACCATCAGCCGTGCTATAAATGATCAGCTAAACTAGACCGCCGCCGGAGGCAGGAGCTTCACATCTCAGATTTATTTCTGTGATTATCGCATTTTATTGTTATTTATTAGGATTAATTAAAGGCCGGGCTGTGAACAACTCAATCCCATTCAGGCACGGTCCCACCGCTCTCCGAGGCTCTCCTATGCTGTCTATGCTCCGGTGGCAGCAGAAGTTTGGCCACCACTTCCCGAGTAAAGGGAAAGCTGGGGTCAGATTGTCCCGCGCTCCCTGGGACACGTGCTGCCCACGACCCCGTAAGGCTGGGATGCACACACCATGGACAGCCCGAGGTGCGGTTATCACGGAAAAAGCGATCTGGAAGCTTTTTTACTAATAAATATTAAGCTAAAACCCTCGTTGCCACAACCCAGTCTGGTTTCCCTCTCCTTCCTCCCTGCTACATCAGGTTAAGTCATGCGCTAGCAATTTCTACCGGTCCGGCCCTCCTTCGGCAGGATTTACGGCATCTGCTCGCTTGCCGTGCACACGCAGCCTGCGTACGCTTACAGGCGCTCCCCGCAGCACCGTCTGCTCACGTACGCACCCACACGGCACCCTCCACGCCGAGCCGACAGACCAGGCTGCATTTTTGGCGGGCGTTACAGCTCCGGCAACGGTCCCGTCCCACTGACCCCTCGGCACCCTGCACGCGGGGCAGCAGCACGGACGCCCACCTCGCTCCATCGAGCCGGGATGACTGGGCTCGACGTGCAAACCCACGCAGGGAACAGGCTCCGTGGGGATATTCACGGTGGCAGATGGACTGTCGGATTAAAATGGTCCGTAGGTCTGGTCCTGGCCTGCTGAGAGCCCCAACCGCTCACCCAAGGGGCTCAAGACTGGTTGACGCAGCGGTGGGGTTCTTGGCACGTCCATCCTCACCGGCGCCCCAGGACCACGCCAGCCGGCCGCTCCCTCAACCGCGAGCTCAGCTGGAGGGCATCCCTTCAGCTCACCCTGATGTGGCACCACCAAGGACGGAGCCCGAGGACTCCTTCACGGCACAGGACCGGCTGTCAGGACCGAAGAACCCCTTCCCTGCCTGATGCCCAAATAATTGACTCGGCAGCGGGGTCCGGCAGGAAAGGGGGGGTCCCGCTGGGGCTGCCCCCCACCCCAGTCCCCCCCTCAGCAGCCGGAGCATCTCCAAATGCTGCGGGGTGAGGAGATGCCCTCAGATCAGCTGCCGCCCCGGTGCCTCTTCAAAAATCACACTGAGCTGGTCCAAAGCAGCGCTCAGAAGTGGAAAATAAAACCCCTTTGTGCTTCCCTGTCTCTTCCCTGCCCGGAGCTCCAGCTCGGCTGTCGCAGAGGGAGTCGGGGCTCTGGACCGGGAGGTCCTGCCTTTCCCACCGGCTCACGCTGCGACCCACAGCAAAGCCTTGCAAGTCCCTGCCCTTCCTTTCTGCTCTCTGCAAGGTGTTTAGCACCTGCCTGCTGGGGAGGGCGAGTTAACGCGTGCTTCTAAAGTACCTGATCTCCTCCACTGGAAGTTTATACACGCAAATGATTCATGCTAATTAAATTAATAATAATATTCCGGGCTCGAAAAGATCCGCCTTGGTTCACTGCCCGGGATTCGCAGAGCTGCAACCAACTCCCCGAGACGAGCTTCTTGGCAAACGCCAAGGAAAGAGGAGGGAACCGGACCGGGGCGGAA